GAACGCAAATAGTAACCGCATATTTCAAGATTTTTAAAAAAAATCGAATTTGAACTATTTTCATGTTGCATCAAATTTCTAGTTTTCCTAATCTGATTCTGTTCCTGTAATTTCACGCTTTTACTCATTGTTATTATTTACAAATCACGAAATTTTCGAATATTTCCTTGTTACTTACAGTTTTGTAAATCATATCATTTTGTTTTAGGTGCATGAGCTTTCTACATTGACTTCAGTGAGTATCACATGAATCAAGCTCTAAACTTGTATCACATGCAGTATACAGCGTGTCGCGAGCAGTGAGCGACACTGGTTATGTGTAATTACCCACATTTTGTTCGGCACTTCGAAGCTCGGCAAACACAAACTTACCTCTAAGTACACTGGAAACTTCCTCCACTGCAAACACAAACAAAACAAATTAGTAGTATCAGCTCAAGAACTGGTTGGTGTAGAGGACGGGTGTGATTGATCATTTTAGCAATATCTGTTCAGATGTTGTTTTGCTTCTGCTTGCCAAGTTGCCCTTTCCCCCAAATGTAATGTGTCTGAAGACTGGTCATTCTCACTTTGGTTACACCGCATTGAAATAAATATTACATAATTGATTACTTATACTTTATTGAAAGAAATCAGACTTTTTCGGGTGAAATGGGTTGGAAACGCTATTAGTGTTAAAAAAAACAAGATCGCAACAAAGTACAACAATGAATGGGAAGACTAAAACATCTTACAGATGCTTTGATCATTTTGAATACATACCCTACTGCAAGATTTCTGATATTTGCAGCACAAAAGCTTAAACCTATCAGTCAGATTTATGTACACTGTACTTAAACATCGTAAGTACGGTTTTATGATTGAAACTCTATTGATATACTATTGAGGCGCTGTAAATTGTTTGTGCATATGCTGAAATTCTTGATTGTTTCTAAGCAATTGTATTATAATGCCAGTGCATCCAGGTGCATTGTCCGGCTACCCCTTACAAATCTGAAAACAGTTGTTTTTATCCCAAGTAACCAAACTACGAGGTCATCATTATTGGTTGTACGTACGTATGGATATATGGAAATGAATTGTTCTCTATCACTGCCTTGTCAGCAATTGATATAATATTCAGTGAATTAACAAAATACATTATTTGACATGTTCTACCATGTTGATAGCATTATATATTATGACAATGACAAGTGATCACTGACAAATTTAATATAATAAAGTATAATGAGAGTGAACAGCACCGGGCCATTTTAGGCCATGCCATCTCTATCAGCTCACTGTCTATACTGGAGTGAATCAATATAGTTGTCACCTCTTCAAAATCACTGTCAACAACGGAGTGAATCCTTGTACATGGACCCTGTATCTACTCTGTGTTATGTAAGTATAAGCAAGGACCTGTTGCATTAATTTGTAACAATGCTGAATCCTCACACTTTCAACAGCTGAGTGAGTCAGTGAACATGTAACCTTTAACATCCCACTGTTAACGCTGGACTGTGTGATCTCATTGAGGAAAGAAAAGAACCAATATGTCATATGCAAACAATACTAAACCTATTCACTGTCATTTATCGTTTTTAGGAGAAAAAGGATTCTTATGTCCTTTAACACAACACTGCAGCAAATGGTAATGTGTACTTACTGTATCCATTTGAATGGAGTTTGGAGCTTATTAGCCAGGACACACTCCACCAAGACACACTCCACCAAGACACACTCCACCAAGACACACTCCACCAAGACACACTGGAGTGTGCCGAACAGTAGCATGGTGGAGCTTGGCTGAAGCGTTGTATACATACACTTCATGGTGACAAAGTAAGACAAGTGAACAAACAAGTGACTCTATCTATAAGTTTTGATGAGGAAGGGGCTGTGGGGTAGCCTAGTGGTTAAAGCGTCCGCTCGTCACACTAAAGACCCGAGTTCTATTCCCCACATGGGTACAATTTGTGAAGCCCATTTCTGGCGTCCCCCGTCGTGATATTGCTGGATTATTGCTAAAAGCGGCGTAAAACTAAACTCATTCACTCACTTAGATGAGGAAAACTGATCAAATAAATTGAAAAAGTAATTTTGATGCAAATGCACCACAACAACTGATGCTGTACGAAGTGATTTTCCACATCTACTCGAAAACCAGATTTGAAAGTTTTGAACTTAAGCTAAAATGTGTCCAGATGTCAAACCGAAGCATGAGTCTCATGAACCAATTCAGACAATGACCAGCTTTTCAGCCGATCCAAATTTTCTCGTGTGAAAGTGAAAAGAGACTCTCCAAACAACCATGGTTACACGTGAATTCCTTGTTTCATAAGAAAATGGTATTTGAAAATGAATTTTAAGTTTAAGGCAGTCACAGAGTGCCCCTGTTTGATGAGGTCGTAAAAGGATTTACAATTCATCTGGCTCATATGTTACACGCTTATTAAGTGTATTTTTGTAACGTACAATGTGATTGATATAATATCAAGGCCGTACAAGACCGCTAAGCTTTTCTAGCGGCCGAGCTTGGTTTGAGATTTCCGCGATTTCCAGATTTCCATTTGTCAGAGCACTCTGTACAACAGAGCACGCTGCACGTGTTTGCAAGGATTAGAAGGGGCGTAGTATTGCAATATACAAGTGATTACATGTATCAAATAATGCTGATTAATATTTATGTATCCAGTTGAATGAGTTGGTCTCAAAATTCTGGACTGGTTATTATACTAAGTTGCGCAATAGCACGGAACCCAGTCAGCAGGAAACGAGACTGTTGTGTAATCAATGTTTTGACTTGGTATCAATGTTGGAATGTACACTGACATCGCTGCGGACTACCAGTATGAAACAAGAACAAGCAGCCACACGTACATGCATGGACATCACTAGGTAAGTGAACTCATCTTGTAGCTTGCCACGCGATAGACCATGCATCATACCGCAGACTTACATGGACAGTTGGCCTTGGAAATCTTGCGATCCAGTCAAGACTCTAACAAGTCTTCGTACGCTGTTGGGGACGTTGGTGTAGCCTAGTGGCAATGCGTTAGCTTGTCACACGTAATTCATTACATTACTGTTACGTTTATGTTGGTATAAATCGAAGAATTATTGAACCAGTCATCATCTCTATGGTGAAAAATGATTCTATCAAGAATCTTTGCAACATGATGATAGGTCACCTAACGTAAGTGAACGTCTGTTTGGGATAGTTCAAATCCCATATTAGGATAGCAAACTATTTCGCGAACTTGTTTCATATAATGGCAATATTAAATTGTACGTTTTCCTCGAATATGAATTCTGATTTATGCTCAAACAACTAATAATTTGACACTTGTTAACTTGCGTAAGCGCGTCACAGTTTAATGTAGCATCGACATTGTTTTAGCCGGGATATGGGTTTGATGGGAAGTACAGACATGTTTGTATATTCCCTAAGTTAAGTTAAAGCTGTGTATCTAACTCTTCACAAAGCTGTCAAGATAAATGAAATAAGAGCAGCTTATTGTCATGGCCATCAACATAGCCATATGCAGGTTAGCAGTGTAAATAACCTTAGAGTGTGGCCGGTTAGCAATGTGGATGAGGTGTTGGAAACTGCTGGCTGACCATACATGTAGCGTAATACGATACAGAGCTGCCTCACAGTCAGTAGTATATACGTCGAATTCGTATTGTAAGGAGGACTTGACCCTCGGACAGCGGCTAGGCAGGTGGGCTGACGATCGCCTCTGTGGTGCTGCCTGGCCGTTGCTGCACTATCATGTAATTGTATATTTAGATGCCGAATAAAGTGTGTTTGAAGAGATAGATATCCAAACTAAACAGCCAGGGATACAAGTTCTTACATGTACAGAAAATCATTACCACACAAATTAACGCTCAAAAGCAAGGCTTCATGCATACATTTTGATATCACAATATGGATCTATCTACGCGATCAGGATATGATGACAACAAAGTCAGCGACCCTGACCACACGATCCCATTCGTGAATGAAAAGTGGAATTCATTGCGTCATTGTATGGGGACAATAATGCATAATGTTAGTAAAATTCCAACATAACTTCAACTGTTGGAACGGGAGAAATCAAAACAACGTTTCCTTACGGAGAAGAGGAAGTTGGAACTACCGTGTGGGGAAATGTTACAATGTCACTTCAGAGCCGTGGAGCTGCATGAATGGCAGTCGGACTGGGGTCAATACAGTTCGAATACTGTGTGAGATCGACCATTGGCACAAACTGCTAGTAAAACCAGTATGCTGCGCCCACCAACGAACGCGCTCAGTCGGCAAAGCACAAATGATTCGTGACTCGTCACTGAAGCCAATCCTGTCCCACTGCCTCTGGAGGTATCTGGCACATATTCAGAACAATCGGAAACATTGAGCACAATGGCGTTTGGATAGATTATGTGTATGTTGCCATGGCTCGGATACTTGTGGTGCGCTATCAATTCCTTATATTCTGTGATGACACTCTAGCAACTGTCTGCTAGAGGAGGTTGTAATGTAGTAATTGGTTTGGTTGCTAGATCAGTATGAATGTAGGTGTATATTGTGCTTGTTTATCAATCCAGGTTACCGGACAGATCGGCAGCAAAAGGGACTTAAACAAAGCTGTAAAAACAAACTCAACACACCGTCTACAAAAAAACTGGCCGACTATAACCCGGATCCTACACTTGGACTTCTCATGATGTGATGTAATCCAAAAATTAACAATTCATTTAGTTCCAGAAAATGAGTGTAAGTGTTATAGTGCCACTGGATTGTCTACTCCACAATTTGATTGGTAAAGGCTTGACAGTTTACAAGTAGTCACACTTGAAGTATAGCAAGAGAAATGTTGTGCATTCTGCAGACCAAGAACGAACATCTCCGTTTTGAACATTTAATATAATGTTTTATGAATGGTAGATGCTACCGGTATCTACTAACCGTTAGTCTCTGAATATACATCATTCCGAAGGAAACAAATAACTCCATTTACATTGAAAACGAGACCCAGTGAGCCTATAACTGAGAAAAATATACAACTGCTTCATAGCATTGCAGACAGGGCTGGTGCTGTGGAAAAATAATACGGTTCAGGTCCTGTCAGACACAGTACCTACCTGTAGTTGAAATTATTTTGGAGACATGTGGCGTTATCAACGCTTTTCAGCAATTCATAGATATACTACTTAGCACTTTTTCGCAATTTACGATCAATGAAATCTGTTTTGGTCAACAATCGAGACTGATTATTCCCTGGGGGTTTTACCTGATGTCTGTGCTGTCTGCACTTCTGACTCACTCAACTCTCGCAGCTCCACCTGTATGCTGCTGTCCTTGATGTCTAGCTCACGCAGGCACTGAATGATGATATGTTTCACCTTCTTGTGCTTTATGATCATGTCAATAGCATCATCTTTGGTTGGATGTGCGAAGTAAAGGATCAGACTCCCCCTAACCGCCTTTAGAATTTCACAAATAAAGGATTCTGTGAGGTTTTTACGCAAACATCGCCATGAATCCGGGGAGATTTCCAAGAAATGATTGTTGGAGAAAAAATTGAAGTTCCAGGTTGTTACATACGGGCCAGCTGTAGACTTGTCGTTAAACACAATCAATGTTTTGCCTGGAATATTGGAAACTGACATATAATCACCAAATATACATATTTGGGTCTTCTATGCAATCACATTCAAAACAAAATAGCATACATGATCACCAAACAACTAACATTTACTTAAGAAACACTTTCTTCATATTAGTATCTAGTGTAGGCGAATGGGGGATTGTTTTGTCTTTCTAAAGATTGACAGCCAAAGGTGTCTCACATCCCGTCTTTCTAGAGGGGAGATTCATGTTAAATACACAGTGCCAATGTTTTTTAGTGTTGAACAAGAAGCATAACCAAAGACACCGAACAAATTCACATACAGAAATGTCCTTAAGCAGTTACTAGTAGTTGGAAGTTACAGTACCACCAACGTTGCCCATTTAAGAGATGTATGGCCTGTCATATAAATGGAACATTCCTCAGGATAGATCCTTGTGTGACGTTACGACTGAAGCAAGTTATTTAATAAAAAAGACATACATTATGACTCCGTGATTCTGTAAGTGACTCATATTTAAACTCCATGAAATAAATTACTAAAAAGGCCAAGAAACAAGTGTCAAGGGGCTGCAGTCATACCTTCAAACTGATTAATTGCTTCTGCTCTTATACTTCCGGCCACAAGTGACTTATCTGCCTTGCTCCTTCCTGTCATCCCAGTAAAGGAAAAAGTACCTATGAAAGAAAAGTAAAGTTAGATAGCAGCCTGCATACACAAATCCCATCCCATCTGAGTATATCTAAATTATCAAAAACTACGATCTGTCCCTTCTTGAAGGTTTTGAGGGAAACCCTAACAATTACAGACTCGTATGGTTGATAGACTCTCTGCAAGATATTTACTTCTATTTTCAAACACTTGAATTCAGAGACAGGTATTTTAATGCTGATCATATACTTTCTCTCCCAGCAACGATTCAGAAATATGCTTATAAAGAGAAAGAGAGATTCTACTGTTTGTTTCCTGTATACTTGTAACACTGTTAAACAGGTTGAATTAGTGTAAAACTAGTTCTCCACTGTTTCAATTCCCTCATAGATACATGGGATGTCCGCCTTATTTTGCAAAGGTCGCACGGTATAAAAGAGCATACGAATCTGTCACACAGCAAGCGGCACCCCCCTCCCTCGAGGACTAGAGGGTCACGTGATACCCCTCTCCGCAGGCTATGGATGACTGCGAGGCCGATGCAGACTCATCAAATAACAGGTGTTGATATTTCCCATGATATTGGCCACCTTTGAATATTTATATGGAACGTAGATGATTACTGCCCAAAATACATGATCCCGAATTTCTTCAATTTATGGAGAAATTTCACATAATATGCATTTTATGGACGTTCGTCGACAGAATTATTGATATCCCGCAACTTTCGGCTTATAATGCCTATGCTGCTAAAGCTCATAGACAGTGCTGGCAGGTAGTCAGGCGGTGTTTATATGTTTATACATGCGTCAATAGCTAAACACTGCCAACATGTAAAACTTGAATATCGACAATGCTGTTGGCATTAAGATAAATACACCCCTTATAGAAGGGGATAAAGAAGTTGTCCTAATACGGAGGTATGGTCCAAACCGAGAAGCAAGACGTGAATTTAGGCGCTATAGAAGTACCAAATCATCTTCCAGTACACGAGGCTATCGTACATTGCGAACGAGTGTAGAAAAGCTAAATATCTGTATCAACGTAAAAAGCGTTCCAAGTTAAGTTCATCAGTCAACAACCCATCTGCATTCTGGAAAGACCTTCGAAGTATCTCTGCTAAAATGTCAAGTTCTCCTATTGATAAACCAACCTTGTATCATCATTTTACAAAATTACATTGCGATTGTAAGCTGAACAAAGATGGGTCTAGCAGTCAAGATTTTAGAATTGATGAAACTGTTGTTCTGATTGAAACTGACCATTGTATTTTGGAGAATCCTATTACTTGGTCTGAAATAAGCTCACGTCTCAATCATTTAAAAAGGGCTAAAGCAGCTGGACACGACGGAGTTATAATTGAATTGTTAACATTTTCCGAAAATGAGGTGAGGTGAAACTGGGTTTAACGTTGTGCTTTATACTGACTCCGAGCCGACCAGTCCTTGTTGTACCCATTACTGCCGAGCGCCAGACAGGGACCAACAAGTACCATATTTTAACGTCTTTTGGTATGATGCTTTTCCGAAAATATCATCATGCCTTTCGTTGTGAAATTGTATAACATTCTTTATGACAAGAGTATTTTTCCAAATGCCTGGAGTAAAGCTATCATAGTGCCTCTTCATAAAAGGGCGATCGATGCAAGCCAGACAATTATAGAGGAATATCCTTACAATGCGTATTAATTATATACACCTATCTTGAATATACGTATTACGAATTGGTCTAATGTAAGAGACAAGATACTAGAGAGTCAGGCAGGTTTTTTGACAGGGATATTCAACCGTAGACCATATTTTTACTTTAAATAGAATTATAGCAAAATGTCTCCTTAAGAAGAAATAGAAATTATATGTAGCATTCATAGATTTCAAGAATGCATTCGATGCTGTTGATCGATCAAAGTTACAGAAATGTTTATGTAAAACTGGTATGGGAAGGAAAATGATGCATTCAATTATTAGTATATATCGTTCGGTAAAAGCTTGTGCTATATGTAATAATGAACACACCAACTATTTTGATTGTCCAGTGGCTTTAAAACAAGGTTGTGTACTTCGTCCCATTTTGTATTCTCTCTTCATAAGTGAATTGTCAGATGAACTATCAAAACGTGGTAAATACGGCATACAACTTTTTCCCGATTTGTTAGAAATTCTACTTTTCATATTTGCAGACGATGTAGTTCGTGTATCGGATAGTGTTCCTCTATTACAAAACCAGCTTAACATATTACATGACTTCACAGAATACAATTGTTTGGTTTTTTGAAGGTATAGATGCTCAGCTAAGCATGAGCAGTGGTTTTTAAATGACAAGAAAATTACTGGTAATTAGTTATAAATACCTTGGTGTTTTATATTCTTCTACTCATAAAATGGGAAGCCCGTATTGCTGATTTAGCGACGAGAGGTAAACGTGCATTAATGGAAGTTATTATTAATCTCAGTAAAGTCGGAAAGGTAAACTGTAATGTTTTCTTTAAAATTTATTATATTGCGCAGTAATATGGGGTATGCACACATTTGATAAATTAGGAAAAGGTTATTTAACTTCGTGTAAAAGATTTTTAAATGTTAGTCCTCAAACCCCGATTTTTATATGGGGAATGCGGCAGGTATCTGCTTTATATTAACGCAATCTGTAAAACATTAAGATATTGGCTACAGGTTTTAGAAATGCAAGAAATCCGAATCTCACTTAAGGTATATGAAATGCAATTATATTACTGTACACTACTTATGCATCATATATTCGTAATACCTTATTCTCACATGGCTTTGGTTAGATATGGATGTTCCAATCAGTAGGAGATGTGTCCTCTTTTATTAATGCCTTTAAAAATGTTGCTATTAATATGTTCTTCTAATCTTGGACTTGTACTCTGAATAATACTTTCAGATATCGTATTTATCGTCAATATAAAAGCATTTTAGCGCCTGAGAAATATTTATATTGCATTATTGACAAACGACTTAGAAATATATTTGTTAAGTTGTGATGTGGTTTGTGAAGATTCAAATATAATGAAGGGAGATGATTAAGACTTGATAAATCTAAACATTTATGTCCATATTGTAATTTTGGTACTGAATAGTACCATTTTTATGCATGTATCCATTATATAGCACTTTACGAATTAAATACTTACCAAAAATCCGAACATGTACAAATTTAGATCTTTTCTATCAACCAATAATGTACTAGTTTTCAAAAGCTTAAGTAAATTGTTATGGCATGCATATAAATTAAGAGGGAGTATATGTAAAACTTTAGATGATAGTTATCATACATACAATATCTGTTCACCGTAATATATATAATGTTATGCTTTGTAAACTACGGCAATATTGGAAATTTTTCTATAGTATATAAAACTGTATATATTATTCATGGGCTTGAGGCCTTCGTACTGGAAATAACACTTGACTTGATGAACAGATTCGCTTCACTTTATTGACCTCCCTGAACGACTACTTGATTTACTCAAGGCTTTAATGAGTTACTGGTCGACTCAACTTGAGATGTACTTGCAAGGGCAGATGCAGACCTCAGGGTCTATTCCAATAAGAATGGGACTATTCCCAGGGTCTCGTTTTTTAGCTCTTTGCCTTTTTGTTTGTCTATAAATATTTTTGATCTTTTGTTCAGTGAAGGGGACTTGTCAAGTCATTTTCTAGAGATATAGGTATGAAATATGGAATCGGCAAAGTCAACAATGAATTAACTTGGTATCTTGAAACCAATAACCTTATAACAAATATTCAATGTGATATCATGAAAAATCGTAGTACTATTGATCATTTGGTAGGTTTAGAATCCTTTCTTTAAAATGCTATAGTAAATAAACAACATGCAGTATCGATAATCCTCTGATCTCGAGAAAGCATACGATACCACCTGGAAGCATGGCATTTTGAAGGATTTACATGATTTTGGCTTGAGGGGTCGTTTACCTTTTTTTTATTCACTAGATACACTCATAAATACCTGTTAAAAGGTTAGGATCTTCCATTTTGTATTCCTTGTGAAGAAAGAATCACGGTCAAGCATATCCTGCTTGACTGTATTGGGTATAACTATTTCAAATCAAGAACTATGAAGAATATTTTTAATAATATTAGTTCTCATCATTTACAAAAATAAAACATTTTAAAAATAAACAGATTTGTTAAATGATTTGTAAAATAGATAAATAATTTATGATTGGAAGTTTAAATTAGTAACTCAGATTGTTAATGGCTGTATCCTCAAAGGGGGTTAAAGTGCTGTAAAATTATTGTCCTCCTGAGAGAGTACGTAAGTCCCAATACATGTATAAATTTACAACTTTCTTAGGCGAGAAAGCGATGGCCCTAATCAGCCACCATAGTAGTCTGGACTGCGGACTTTGTGTACTTAAAAGTCACATCGGCAGAGTATGTTTCTCGTCTCGTGATATCGCTTTGGCCCTAATCAGCCACCATAGACTACAACTTGTCCGACTTCCATTTTTGTGGAAGTCGCGGTGGTTGAGCGGGTTAGGCGGTTGACTTTGTGTGCTGGCGATTAGGTGCCTGACGCTGAGAGTGTGGGTTCGAATCCCGCATTGGACTCAACCCCAAAAAGTACTAGAATTTGTACTTTAATAAGAAAGTGTAATCCAAATATAACATATGGTACACGTTCTAGAACCTTCATGAGTTTATCTCCTCTTAAAACTGATCCTACAGCAGAGGCTAATGTTGGACCCTTGAGATTCCCTATGCCTCTGACATGACACAAGTATTCTGCTATTTATCCTTGGTGAATTTACTTATTTTAGTTACTTATTAAATATGTTCCATACGTGAAGATCAAAGGGTTACGGTCTGAATTGAGGATGCTTGTCTTAGTCTACCTGCTGTTGTTACCAGGTATGAAATTCAGGTGGTCAGTAGGGCATAAACAAAATCAGTCTCAAATTCCTCGTGGACGAAATTATGTGTAAGACTCTCATAAACACTGCTTTCGGATCTAACGCTTATGCATGAACACCAGGATA